TGTTTTGAATCTTTACACCTCTATCTTCTTTACTCTCCTGCAGACAGAGACGAGTGTGCCATGAACCATTACTGCATGCACAGATGTGTGAATACCCAGGGCTCATACTCTTGTGAATGCAATCCTGGTTACAAATTAGCCCACAACAACTATTCATGTATTGGTAAGTCCATAAAAAGTATGTGTTATTTGATATAACACATATTAGAACTACTGCTTTTATTCTTAAATAACATTAATGAATTTAGAACTGAGGATATTAACCTATACCATAACTTTAAATGGCTAAGATCATTGAAAGCCAAAAAGACAAATATGTAATATATTATATATCCATCAATAGTGGGTATTGAGGCACGTTATTTTAGAGCACTTTCTTTTTACAGTGTTCTAAGAACAGCAAGCCTCTAATATTCTTCTCTTAGCAACAGTTCACAAAAAAGGATGGCACTTAAATAGGATGTTTTTTTGTTTGTTTTTTTAACTTTTATTTAACCAGGAAAAAAGTCCCATTGAGATTAAAAACATCTTTTTCAAGGGAGTCCTGGCTAAGAGGCAGAAAAGTTGCATAAGAAACAGAGATAAATTTAATTAAATGACAGGTACATAAAAAAAAAACATATAAAGTAAAACAATAACAGATCATTGAGGCTGCTTCAAATTCTTTCACTTTCAACTTAAAAGCATTTAAAGATGAAACTGATCAGACAATATCAGATTTTTGACTTACTGCATTGACGGGCCAATCTCCAGTCATGATTGATCAAGCAGGCATTCCTCATACTATGGTTATCAGTGAAGTTCTCTTTGCAACTATTGAGTTTCGTGTCAGCCATTTTGAATCTTCTTTTGTATGTGTCTAGTTGGCAAATAAAAGCACTTGAGTAAGGCAGTAACTGTATGAAAATGATATGCAGTGGATAGGAAAGATGTATTTTTTAATAACTCATTCTAAGCTATATGTGATTATTAGACTTTGGTAGAACATAAATTTATGAAATCAAATGTTGATTATTACTAATAAAAAGCCAAAGTAGTTACACACAGTCCCTTTAACTTTTTTTTTTAATGAAATCTAAAAAAGTCAAGAACCCAACATATATAAACCATTAATAGCAAGGTTTTGACCATTCTAACAATTAAATTAAATGAAGAAAATATGCATATAAATAAAAATAAACAAAATAAAATTAAGTCACGTAAAGTTTTGATATGAAATCAACATATTCCATGTTTTTGTGTGATCTCCCTGTTTTTATAAAGTTGAACAAACAAACTTAATGCAATTAAAACCAATGTAAAAAAAAAGTTACACTTTAAATGCAAGAGAGAGTTATTATTACATTATCTTTCCACCCACATGCCTTAAAACAGATCTTCTGCTAAAGTTAGATGGACTCGCTGGGCCTGTGATAGAGAGCTGTTTATCTCTGCAGCTAATCTAGCCAGACCCATTACTGGCCCCCAGCTATGCTGTAGCATGCATCTGTGTTTTTAGGCTGAACGTGTGCATCTGTGTTTAATTTATTGCATTTGCTTTGCCCTTCTGGTGTCCAGTTATCTGTTGGAAATACATGGAGTTTGGAGTACATTGTGGGCTTTCGATAAAAACAAAATGTATACATCAATTTAGCTATAGATTCAACATACAAAATTAAAAGCCTACCAGATAAAACTGATTGATTTTGTTATTTTTTTTAAAATAATGTCGGACATCCTGGGAAAGCCTTTAACTTAAGTTTTCTTGCTGATAACATCATTGTGTGGTTGTGTGTGACGCTGATGATTCAGTTACTTAAGAGACACCTTGCTCCAGTGAAATAACAATCCATCATTGCATTTCTGCACATTTTACAATGTGACATCCGCACTTTAATCTCCAGCTGAGCCAGATGATATAATGACAAAGTCTAATACATCCCATTATCTCTCATATTGAAATTAAACAAGTAAAATTCAAACATCACTGCAGCGATACATTGACCTTTCCTAATCTCATGCCACACTGTGCAAACAGTCTCCACTTTTGCTAATGGGACTTCAATTTTTGATGATTTTGCATCCTTTCTGTTAAGCTACTATTTGACCACATGGGGACCAATAATAGATTGTGTCTAGTCTTGAACGCTAATCCTAAAATAGGGTTAGGGGGTCAAGCAAACTTGACGCATGCACTATACATAGTGGGAGCACAGCAAAAGCACACACTTTCTTTAAATATGTGACAATTAAATGTGTCGCAAAAAGCTGTCAAATTACTCGTACTAAGACCCGGATAACCAATGTTTTCCCGCAACATGAGTAAAAATTTTGCCTGGGGATGTCATCAAGTAAGGCTATGACTGTATCTTCAAAATTCGTTCTCAACCCTTTTACGACTCCTTTCTAATTCAAGAGTTATTAAGAGAAATATTTTGAACAGGAGTTGAAGAGCAGTGACAAATTTATAGAAAAAAGAATTAAGTAATTTAGTGAAAAACTTCTAAAAAATGTCTTCTAGATATGTCTGTAAATGGGGTTGCGTAGAACAATCACATGGGTCAGACTGATGCATCACAAAGGCAAAAGATCTGGTTAAAAAGCAAAAACGTTATGTCTAATCACCCACTGCACCAGTTAAAAGATAACCCAGCTGTAATATATGGTTTTGATAAATGCACGTTTAAAAAGGATTCTGTTTTTCTTCCAGACATAAATGAATGTGAAGTGGAAAGTCCATGTGATCAACATTGCTACAACTTAATAGGCTCTTACATGTGTCAATGTGATCACGGCTACGAGCTGGCTCCAGACAAGGTCACCTGCCAAGGTGAGCTTGGGGACACACGTATAAACCCACACTTGTATTTAGTATGAACATAAATAAAGTAAACTAACTGTTTCTCAACATGTACCATGACCCTCATCCTTTGTTTGTGTGTGAATATTTTGAATAGACATTGATGAATGCAGCCTGTCCAGCTACATGTGTCAGTTCCAGTGCGTTAACAACCCTGGAAGTTTCACTTGTGAGTGCCCACCAGGATATCAGCTCCAAGGGAACCGGTTGTGTCAAGGTAAATCAGTCAACCAATCATTTTCCCTTCTAATGCAATCTATCTGTCTAAACTTTCCAGTCTTTTTACATAAAATAATAAGCAAAGCAAAAACCCATCTTCCTTTCCTCCTAAGCATTTAAGGAATCAGTTTAATTTTATTTCATTTCTCAGGTTGCACTGTCATGGAAAGATTTTAAAAGTCAGGCAGCTATTACACATCAGCTTTGTTTTACTCAGCTAGTTTAGATCTGTCAAACTCATATGTGTAATCCTAGTACCTTTAACTGCCCTTATTTGATGTTGTAACACTCTTTCAAAGGGAGAGCTTTTAGGTTTTTTTGCTTTTATTCAGGTGGGGACTTTAAATGGAGGAGTCATAAATCCAGATTTTGGGTCTGAGGGACATTCTGGTGATGAATTCAGGTTGCTGAGCCAGAAGGTGTTGTGGTTTGGAGAACGTATGATGTTTCTGTTTTCACACTGCTTTAGTGAAACAGATTGAGTTCCTGGCCTGTGCAGGATTGCATTTGGAGCTACTCCTCAACAACCTATGAAGAAGGTTTCCTGCTCTTACCACCTGCAACTGAGGAGCAACAGACTTCAAATGTTGATTGAGCTTTAATATATTTTGGATTAAGTGCATGGCAGTCCTGAGGTTTTCTTTTTTTTTTTTTTTTTTTTTTTTTTTTTTGCTTAAAGGCATTTTTTTTTCTTTCACTTTTACCAGACATTAATGAGTGTGAGATGGGGACCCACAACTGCCAAGATGATGAAATGTGCTGGAACTATTACGGACACTTTCGCTGTTATCCCAGAAACCCCTGCGAGCCACTGTACACCCTGACCTCTGAAAAGTCAGTGAGCGGTTCTCCTGTTCTGTTTCATCGTCGTCTGCTCGCCTGTTTCACCAAATATTTTTACAAAAATTCTTTCTATTTACAGTCGCTGTATCTGTCGATCTCCAACTGAGTGTCAGGGTCTCCCTCCCTCAATAGTCTACAAATACATGAGCATCCCAGCTGACCGAACTGTACCAGCAGACATTTTCCAGATTCAAGCCACCACTGTGTACACCAACACACAGAACACTTTCAGGATTAAATCTGGGAATGAGGGAGGACATTTTTTCCTTCGGGTAAGTTTAAAAAGGATTAATCTTTGTTATGTGAACATCTTTCTTAAATGCATTACCCATTTTTACTAGTGTTGCGCCGATGCCCTTTTTTGGCCCCCGATACTGATAAGCGATACCTGGCTGTGCAGTATTGCCGATACCGATATCATACCGATACAAATGTTTGAAAAATAGATGTGTGTGTATTATGAAGAACTGCATACTACTTGGATGTAAAAAAAATTGCCATCATGGCTTTTACAAGCTGCTGCCTACCTTTGTGAAGCAGGAAAAAGAAAAATGCAAAGTGAATCCATTAGAACTTTTTATTGCCTACCGGGAATAGGTGACAATAGTAGAATAAACTTTTGGCTCTCCAAATGGTATCGATGCCCTTCTTGTTGGTACTCGCCGATACCGATATCACCATTTTAGTGCAGTATGGGGCCCCGCCTGATACTGGTATCGGTGCAACACAAATTTTTACTAAGATGTATTTTTGCTCTAGAAACACTAAGATCCATTGGATCTGCTATATCTTTACAGATAAATGCAATAGTATATCTTTCAAGTTGTAACAGTTAACAATCTAGAGACAATGTAGGGTTTCACCTCTGGATATTTATGAGACTCCATTATATTTTAATTTTTTCTCTAAAATTCAAAAGCAAAAGAGGAAAACACATGTCAAAAAGAAAATAACACAGAAGTTTTCAATAAAATTAGCACATTCTGATGACTGACGAAACAACAAAACAAAACAGCAACTGTTTCACAGAAAGATCAGAAAATTGTACATACAGAAAAACTAATTCAACGTAGGTAAAAAAAACTAAGCAAAAATGTAAACACACACACACATATATACATATATATATATATATATATATATATATATATATATATATATATATATATATATATATATATATATATATATTATATATATATATATATATATATTTAACAGATTAAAAAAGTACAAATAATGTTTTGTATGAGAAAAAAAGTGCTTGACCAGATAAACAATAAGTACAACAAACAAAATGATTGTTCTCACTTACTAGGTCTGCAGATAGTAGAGAGAATTATGAAGTCATTTTGCATTTATACAGGATGTTTGCATTTTTATTTGACTCCACATTGAATAAAAAAAGAATTGGGGCGTCTGTTTGGTTATTTAAACATATTTGGTTTCTTTAGTTACCCATTTCATGTCCTATCCTGCTCAAGGTTAAATAAAGATACTTAAATAGATCTAACAGATGCCCAAATTCCCAAATTTCTAGAATAAAAAAAATGTACACAAAAACATCTTAGTAAAAAAAATTTACTAACGGCAAAAAATATTCATGGGCACAGTCTACATGAGAGAAAACAAACTTTTTTGCTGTGAAATTTCACATTTTTCAAATATGTTGTTATTATGACTGTTAAAGTAGTTAACATCACCAACCGTGATAGATTTTCTCTATGTAAGTTATAACTATATTTAAGAGGCTCAGAATATTTCTATACCCTACATATAAATAGGTACAGTAGACAACAGGCTGAATGATTGAAAGCAGCCAAAAAAAAAGAAACTCCTCTCATATTTAAATTAAACAAGTAGCGCATGTCTTTCTCCTTGATTAGTAAAAACTCCTGTAGTTAGCCTTCCTGATGCTCTTGATGATCCTTATGCTGCTCCGTAGAGCCAAGAGTGTAGTTGCTATATCTTTACTTAAAACATCTAACAGATGGATAAATCAATGTTTTATATATTAAATGACAATTGCCTTTTAACACCCTTTATATTCAGTTATCTGATGCATCTGAAAAAACCCACATCTGTTCATATACAGAATCTAAAAGGTTGATTCATATATAGTTTATTTGAAAAGTGGGTATAATTTAAAAATATAACTAGTATTAGAATTTGTCATAAATGTGTGGTGATTTATTTATTTATTACTTCAAGCTTGATTATTAAATATTCCAGTATGACTAACAACAGATTCTTACAACACAGGACTGTACTGCCTGGACTAGTTTATAAATGAATAGCCTGCCTAATGTTTCATCCAAGAATATTGTCAGCATCAGTTTTCATACCACTTTTCATTAAATTGGTTTCATCCTTTTTTTTTTTAAAGAATGCTGATGGGATTAAAGCGTCAATGATTATGAGTACATTTTTGGATTTTTAAATGGTAAAAAGATGCGAATACAAAAAAAAAATGTATTTAAATATTTGAGATTTTAAATTTAACTAAAATGTGTCTTTTCTTTAATTAGATCTCTTTGACAGAATAAGTAATTTCTCACTTTTGTTTTTTCTTGCTTTTATTCTTGCTTGAAGAGCCAGACCGTTTATATTCCCATAATAACCCAATCATCTGGCTTATTATGGGCTGGCTGCTCCATTTATTCATACAGTACCAAGATGTTCGTAATTCCTGTTAGCTTTGGTATCTATGCTTGCAGTGACATGTTTCAGAATAAGCTGAAACCATGTTCCAGTAGTTAGAAAATCTTTTAGTTTAGCTTTATTTTAGTTCATATTAGTTCTTATAAATCAACATCAATTAAAGTTTAATATTATAAAAATTCAAAAGCATTAACCATCTACTTCTCTTTGGCAGCGTTCCAGCAATGTGAGTGCCATGCTGGTGCTTACCAAGCCCTTGACAGGGCCCAGGGAGTATGTGGTGGATCTGGAGATGATCACTCACCATCTGACCATGAACTTCCGTAGCACCTCTCTGCTGCGGCTCACGATCATAGTGGGAGCTTTCCCCTTCTGAGATTCAGAGGTCCCAAAAGCCCCCATAAGTCTGGTTTCAGCAAACATAGCAAAAGCCTGTATCAGCGTATTCTACTTTCTCACTCTCAGTACATGCATATAGCTTAACATGCCTCACATTTAATTACCAACAAAAGCAGGTCTTATATGGTTTCTCAGATCACACTGCAAACACCCTTGCCTCTTATTCCAGTCGGGATTGCCTTAGCCTTTAATACTTGCATTTTTTATTCCTTTAAAGTTATTTCTATACTTTCAACAGTTTTTTTTGCAAAAGGAAGAGACCTACTGGACACACTAGCTAAATTATATTTGAATTCAGCGACACCTATTGTACATCTATCCCTTAATTCCATTTGTAGTAAGTAAGTAGAGCTGTTTGTAGTAACTGATTTAACCATCTGTAGTTTAAGAAATCCACATTTAATATCAGATACCCAACATTTACAGCTTTTTATGCAACAGTAATCTGCAGTTTATACATCCATGCTTCTGGTGATAAATGTTAGGAGTTCAGGGGATACATTTCTATATAGTTTGCCTCATATGTGACACATTTCAGAGAAATCCAGGAACAATTCAAATGTGTAGAGCAGGTAGTTACCCAGTGAGTTGAGAGAGTTGTGGACTTTCTATTAGAACAAGCCTGAAGCTTGTATACTGGACTCAAATTAGTAATGACATGTATATAGATAGGTGAAAAAGCAAAAAAAAACATCCTTGTTTGTACATGTATCTTAATAAATGCGTGTGCGTGTGTGCAACTAGCTTTGTTTATGCATGCATGCAGATGGAAGTGTGAAACTCAGTAGGAGAGAAAGGGAAAGAATGAGAAAGTGCTTTGCTTTACTTTCTTGGGTTTAGTGGATGTCGCCAAGCTGTTTATGCGTTTCTGTGATGCCATCCCAGCAGCTTTCCGTCACAGAGCCAACAACAGAGACCTTTAAACTCGAGAACACATACAGGAAATGACGGCCTTGGTAACACACCTCGGTACTGGACCGCTCTGCGTTGCCTCTGTTATTCTCCAGAGTTACAGCAAGACCCTCTAATGTCAGTCCCAGTCAAAAAGTCACACTGGCACCAGGCTGGCTTGCGTTATAAAAGATAATTGCAGTGTTTTGCCCCGTACTGGGTTCATGCTCGACACAGGGGATTATTAAAGTGTTAATACAATGCCACTAGACATTTGTCAGAGGGAGAGATCTTTCACTACCTGTTCTGCCTCTTATGGCTCCATGTGTCTGCTCTGGCTCAATGCTGAAACACTGTAAACTGTTGATTCACACCATTGAAAAAAGCACAAGTCATCACTCTGTAAGTGCAGAAAGTTGCCCAACTTTGCCTTTAAGAAAATCTCTTTTGTGTGGTTTCAGCTCTCATTATGACATAGTGCCTTCAAGCCCAGTGCAGAACCAGTAAAACTAATCTAATCATTCATACTGTCAAGACTGTTAACTTTCCTCCATAATATGCCTTAATGTTTTTTTCTGTTTCTATTTAAATATATATTTTTGTCATATGTATCTTGTATTGATTGTACTCCGAAGAGTGAAAACTATATTGTTAAATAAAATGTGACTTAAAAATTAAGATTTCTCCATTTGCTCCGTGAAATGTAATCACCAGCTTGTTCAGTTCATCCACTAAAATGAACAGAAACACTCTGAAAGCAGCATTTTACATACTCACCTTATTCTTTTTTGCATTTTAAACCACCATAAATACACACCTCAATGTCTTTTACATGCTTTTAATGTGGTGTATCATTACAAAGTAGAACGTGATTTTGAAGTCGATGATGTTTGAGTTTTTAAATCTATTCAAATAAAAGCCGGCCTGCGTTTCAGCACCCAGAGGTTCTGTAAAGCCCTTAGAGACATTGATAAACAAACATCACCATGCAGACCAGGGCCACACTGAACTGGCTTGGGGATAAAGTTGTGTGGAAGTTTAAAGCAGGGTCATTTTTTAAAATCAAGTGGAATTGCAGGCAAAGGTGGTTCTGTAAAGAAATAACTCAAGGTGGTTGATTATTATTCCACATCACTGTATATATTACCTTGCCTGGCTCATAGAAAGGTTGAATTGTTTTACAGGGCACTGCCCACAATTATTAAGAAAAAATAGTGTCTGCATGAAATGTGTCGTTTTTTCCATGCTTCAGGGGAGCTCGAAAATGATTTCATTGGAAATTAACAATGATAAATACAGCTAAAATGATGCCACAGATATCATATTTATCTTGTTCAGATAAGACATCCAGAGGGGATATAGTAATGCAGTTGAGTCGGGGTGTGCTGAGGGACAAATGTGAACCCTGTGCACACATCATATTAAGATGTGAGAGTGGATGGGAGTGGTTTTATGGTAAGTTGTTACTCAATCATCTTGCAGTTTCAGGCTTTAGACTGAGCAGCACTGGGATGTGAAAGATGATACATGATGTGTCATTGTTCCCCGAAGACCAAACTCAGCAACGCTCCCATCCAAGCTGTATTTCTGCTGTCCGTGCATAATTGGACCCCCATGAGAAAACACTGCTCACTCACCCCCTGTTTAGGTCAACCATTTGGAGAACTCCCGAAGAAAAGCGCATGTCTTTCTCCTTGATTAGTAATCTGTATGGTATAATACTGGGGATAATTAACTTAATCTCCTTGCATATACTAAGACATCTCATTAATCACAGTAAAATATATTGATCAGATCAAAGCTTAACCTATTGGCTACAGATCAAAGAAAAAGGAGATTTCTAGCAATTTAATGGTTTTTATCTTATTTCTTCTGTGGAAAATACATTGTAGGTGATTACTGATCCCCTCTTTATGAAACTTTTTATACTTTAAAACTTGTTGGGATCAAAAAGATGCTAACCCTAAGCTGTGTCTAATGAATCTCATTTTTCTTTTTACAAATCCATGAATGAAATGGGCCTTGGGCAAGAATCTGTAAATGGTATTTTAATGGTGGGTCAATTCTTTCTTTCTTTAATCTTTAACACCAGCTAATCACTGTTTGAATATCACACACGAAAACTATAATTGAGCTGTGGGCCTCATTATGGCCACACTTTAAATACAGAAAAGACAATGTTCAGCATGATTAATTCAACACCTCACAAAGCTCAACCTGGCACTCATCTGATTCTCATATAGCATTTTTGAGAGTATTGGAAACAGGTCATTGTCAGAATGCAAGTGCAGCTTTCATTTTCATTTCCAATATCTTGTGAAATAAACATCACTAAAAGGCAAAGCATAAGCCAATGTATCAATCAGCTTAATTGTAAAACATTCAAAGCAGATTAAACAATTTTCTTTTTATATTGTTCATTTTTACCCAGTATATTAAGGACTAAGGCCTGTCTGCAAACAAAAAAATATGCAATGCAATGTTTAACACAAGACATGGGATTTTTAACTGCGTTAAAGTGCACAGCAAAGCAGCCATACAAAGTTTTTCAGCTTTTTTAAAATAATAACAAACCAACAGGCACCAATATTTACCCAATAAAATAAAATGTGGTTTAATTAAATTACTTTTAATTAAACTTTAAACTCAAAGTTAATCACACATATCATTTTATCCTAAACACACCTAGAAAAATATGAAAAAGCCTTAGTTGGGTGTAAACTGTAAATATTTGTCTGTTTAGGTCATGGAAATATCCATCGGTTTGCACACCAAGGAGTATAAAATCCACATTTATTCTCAAAGGGGCACTTTCCTTCCAGCAGAAAAAAAGCTATCAAATCAGCATTTTAATTTCAAACAAGTCAGATGCAATGATTAGTCAGTAAAGTAAGGTATAGACAATAAGACATGTACATAAACAGCTGTGTCAAGGCATGCATAATTGCACAAGTGAGGACACAAACACATTCATCTGTGTTTTAAAAACAAAGTGAGGACCTTGCATCCAAAATACAGTAACCTCCAGCCATGGAGGCACCAAACAGATTATATTAGGCAGAAAAACAGGATTGATTGGAACAAATGTGCAATTCATTTCTAATAATGCCCAGTACCTTTAGACAGCCCTATAAGATATCCACATGTAGTTTATTAGCCAAGAAAAATAAAACACCAAGTTCAGATGTTATAAAAGTGACTGACAGTACATCCAGTGGTGTGAAAAGAGGTGTTGATTGGATAGCATTTATGACTCTATGGTTATTATGTGATGGAGTCACTTGTTGACACTGGGAAACTGTACCGCACAGCGACATTAAGTGAAAACCATTATATAGATGCATGCCACTTAAGGGATCACAGAAGTGACAAGAATCTACTTATCTGCTCATAATTGTGTTTGTGAAGTGTCTAAACTGCTCCTCTGATTTGGTAAGCCTTCTGGTGCTCCTAACTTTGGCGGCTGAACATGTGCCAGGTCGTAAACAGCCTCTGCCTGATATCCAGTCTCAGATGTTTCAATTGGCCTTCTGTCAGACTGAAAAATAAATCCTGGAGGTCCATACCTGTGTGATTACATTCCCTAATTATAGTTTGCAGCAGTAACTCTGAGATGACTGAAAAGGACGGGCCCCTGGGGAATTGTGAATGTAATTATATCCTGACAATAATTAGGCACAGTCCTCAGAAAAGAGCTTGTTAAATGAAGATGTACCTGACTGTGTTTAGATCTTCAGGAAAGCCTTTGAATTATGATATAATTACAAGGAAATATATGTTTCATGAAGTTAGTAATTATCCCAGGGAACATTTACAGTAAATGCCATTACCTTTTAGGATACAAGTTCAATGAAGAGAGAAATCTAATAATTTGATTTTGCCTTGTAAACAGTTTATCATTTGCCGCTGGGTGAATGAGGAAACATTTGGGGGTTCTAGTTCTTCAGAAAAACCAACATATAAACTACTAAAAGACACCAGAATGCAAACTGCTTAAAATAAACACAGAAGAAACCAGGCGTCCTTGGCTAAAACTCATTGGCTATCAAAAAGAAGACATTAGAAGACAACAGAGTATACTGCTTTTCTAATATATTTATTTAAAAGAATACAAGGCTAATAAGTTGAAATAAAAAATTAGCTATTGTTCTAGAAAATGCTTTATTTAAAAATAGAATTACTAATCCTCATAATTTGGGAGCAAATAAAAATCAAAATAAACAATTTAATTAATTAACCTTGTACTAAAGTTTTAGACAGGTAAAGTGATATATCTTCTAGAACAGACCTAATAGCAGAATCTACTCTCCTCAACTCTCCAGCGGCAGCCATTGTTGTTGTCACCCATGCACGCTTTGGTCACGTGGTTGATTAGTTTACTGTTGATCATCTGTCCATCATCGTATAAAGCCAGCCCTGACAATTTGATTGGCCCGCCAGATATTGTGCTAGCATACTCGCGCTACTGTTGAGCAATGCCAGAACGAACTTCCCGACCTCAAACGTTGTGGGCGGGACTAAGTTCGGAATGGCACCCAGGCTAGAACTTACATGCCATGCTAAAGTATCTCAAACCTCATGTAAGGATGTAAGGTATTCTGTGCCTATGCACAACACTGAAATAAGTTGTTTTAAAATCAGCTTTTCTGCAGATGCAACTCCAGTTGCAATGGAAAAATGAATGCTCTTGAATGGCCTAGCTGAGTCCAGAACAAACACCAACTAAAATCTAGGTTAGCTACAGTAAGAGGCAGCGGTGGCTGCTGCTCTCTGAAACAGGGGAGGCTCAATGGTATTGATTATTGGACCATGTGTCTTAATAATTGGCTTTGATTGATTGATTGATTTACTAAATACAAAGATAATGTATTACTTTAACAAATGTTGAAACACATAAATCACATTACTGCAATGTGTTAAAATAGCTATTGTAAAGAGCTTTTTCCTATCTGGTTTCATTAGGAAAACCTACCCGCTGTCTGACCACTGAAAGTCAAAAATCCACAATTATTTTCTGCCAATCAGAATTAAGTGAAGTGAAATTTGAGAAGTGGAAATATCTGAACTTTTGTTTACCCTCACATTGCGAAACCCAGTGAGGGACTAAATGTGGCTGTGATGAATTCCTCATCATCTGGGCACGGACTGAACTTTAAGACCAGGTTAGTGACTCACATGTTTATTATCATCCTCTGCCAGATAGATGTGGTCACTAACCTGTGTTCTCTCCCTGCAGAGGTTCCTGCCTTAGTCTTCCCATTCACTGCAGTTTCTTACCGGTAATAAAAATGTTTGAGAAATGTGTTTTTCTGCCTTGAAAACTGGGTCCTACTTGTTCTGAAACTTCACACACAGCGTGTTGTTCATATTAATTTGGAGATGATTCATTATGGACAGAAAAAACAAACAAACATTGTGGTAGGGATTGTAAACTTT